AACAGGCCCGTGCTTGGGTAGAATTAGAGTTAAAAACTCTCCCGCTCACCTTGGCTGGGAAGGAAATGCTGCAGACGCTGGAGGAATGAGCAAGGAGCTGGAAATAAATCCACAGAGAGGAGAGGAGGAGAGAGCATGCTTGGGGGAAGGAGTCCTCTGCGTTTCTGTTTGCTCCCCTGCCACCTCTTTGCCAGGTTGGAGGGCACGTGCCTCATGCTGCCCTCACTAGCACATCCGTGGGGCTGGACTGCTGAAAGAGTGCCCCAAGTAAGAGCCAAAATGAAGTGTGCAAAAGGACTCGGCCCAACCTGGAGCTCTGGGGCTGGGGCCAGGCTCCCCTGCCATGGGGTTTTCCTTTGGGGAGGAGCAGCACAGCGTTCGGAACAGTACGGAGCATGGGAGGGTGCAGGAGTTGCTGCGTGAGGGTGCTGTCAGTGCAGCTCTGAGCAGGATGCCAGCCTCCGGGCACTGCCCCCGGCTCTGCGGCCACGGTAGTTCTGACTTCCCAGCTTTGCCTGTAATTGAGCATCCTCAGTGCTGCGGAGGGAGCTAGGATTTACCAGTGCAGGCCAGCAGACTGGCTGAACTTGAAGCCAGGGATGTGGAGGTTCCTGCTGTTGTCAGTCTGTGCTCAGAGGATGGCACGTCTTGCTGACCAGCCTCCCCAGGGACCTCCAGCCTGTTCCCAGGATGGGCAGCAGCAGAATGTCTCGGAGGTCCTGGGCCCAAACCTTGCAGCCTGTGCACATCTGAGTGTTTCCTTGTCTGCCCGGGGAGGATCCAGCACTTAGCTGGTTTCCCAGCCTTGGGGGAGAAAGGGGATGCCCTCTGCCCAGCCCGCCGTGCTGGTTTTGCCCTCTCTTTGGCTGCTGGAGGCAGATCCTGTGCTGTGCCTTCGCAGGGGACGGTGGGAGTGTCTCCTTGCTCGTCAAGATCTTTCGAGGAGGTGTCAGCTTCTCGGGAGACTCGGCAGCCTCCCCGTGCTGCTGCTGTTGCCTGTTGCGCAGCCCATGAAGCAGTGCTGGGGGGTGATGGAAGGACAACTTCCTTGTGGGCACAGAGCCAGCGGGTGGTCTGGGGGTGCAGCCCTCCCTCTTGTATGGGGGGCTTGGCTCGGCCACTGCTGTCACGAGGTTTGCCAGGTAGCCGTGTGGCACGGCGAGGATGCACAGGATGGACACGGGACTGGGTGTGCCGCCTGTCCCGCAGTCCTTCACAGTGGGACGTTTGCTAAGATGGTCTGGCTTTCTGCTTCGGGGAAGTACTAAAGTAAAATCACCCCCTCCAACGGGCAGCGTAACCTCCCAGCAGCCTGGGGAGGTTTCTGTGCCCTGCTGGGCTCTGGCCAGGTTTCCTCCCTGCTCTGCTGCCCGGCGCTGCGGACCCCTGGATCGTGCTCCCTTGTGCCAAAGCCTGGCACCTCTTCCAGCACCGAACAAAGACGCCTGAGTCCAAAGAAGTGCTGAAACAGCAGGAGTATGAAAATAGATTTTGAGAAACTGGCAGAGCTGTAGGGCCAGATGTGCGCAAAGGCTGACAGTGCTGGAGCTGCGGCGGGGAGAGCTCGTGTCGCTTAGCAAAGCCGCCAGCGTGGCGGCCTCCCCCACCTCGCTCCACTTCTTTTTCGAGTGGAATTCTGCTAACTATCATTATCCAGCTCCCAGGGACCTTTGCAAACAACGCTGCAGACTGGCAGGACTTGGAGTGTAATTTGGCATGACAGAGAGTCCCTCATTAGCACCGTGGGGTGCTGGGCTGTGTTCCAGCCGGGCTGCGATGGAGCAGCCTGGGCTGGAGGGTGGTGATTCTACCTGTGGCTACGTGAAGAAGGAGGAAAAAGTCTCCAGATCCTGTGATGGGCAGAGCATGGAGCTGCTCCTGGCGCCCGTGTGTCTGTGTGCTGGGGGAGCCCCACGAGGCTGCGGTGTGGTTGGCAGCATGTGCCCATGGGGAGGGACATGGGCCCGTGCAGAGCAACGGTCATCGCTGCCATGGTGGCTACGGCTGAGATTTATCTTCAGAGAGATTTGGGCACTTTGCAGTTACTTCAGGTCCCAGCTCAGACCCAGAGGTGGAAAGCAGCTGACAAAAAATATTAATGAAAAATTCCACAAAATTCCAAACAGAACGTAACAGAAGAGAGAATACTGATATTTTCAATCAAAATTAAGT